GGAGTCTACTCCCTCTCGCTGACTGAAACCTCAAGCAACGTAACGAGCCTTGAAGACAGGCGGAGAACCTGGCGGCCGCTTCACCCTGAAAATCCACATGCCACTGACGATGTTCGCCCCAGGAGGGGGAACCTCGTCAACGTAAGTGCCTGTGGACTTCCAGGATGCCATCTCTGCGTCCATGGCTGTCTGCCACTGAGAGGAGTACTCACCCGCGATCGCCTCAGCGTAAGAGCGCGGGGTCGGGATGTCTGGAGCATCCGGGTCTCCCTCAGGTGCATGGACACGAGATGAGGTGCAACTGCTGCAAGACACTCAAGGTCCTCCTGCCTGTCCTCAAAGACGTCCGTGCCAAGAGCACACTCACCCCTGACGGATGGAGGACAGACAGACTCAGACTCAGCAACAAGATTAGCGGCGTAGTCTAGACGACAGGCAGCAGCAAAGTCAACAAGCTCAGTGACTAAGGCAAACGCAGCAGCAGACTCAAACGACGAGTCAGAGACAACTGTGGCTAGCAGACGCGTGACAGTAGGGCGAGCAGCACGGGTGCGGTCAGACTCAGGCTCAGGAACGGTAGGCAGAGAAGACGCAAGAGGGGACGGCAGGGGAACACGTTGCGGAGGAGAGGAATGACGACGAACTATGAGGTGGGTGCTGGGGACAGCCGGCGGACGCTCACGAGGAACATGACGACCGAAACGACCAGAATGGACAGGAGAGACAGGACACGACGCAGGCTCACGACACTCAGTAAGACCCCTTGTCTGCTCAGTGTAAGGAGAAGGAGCAGGCAGCGGTGAGCCAGGCTGTAACGGAAGACCAGTAGACGAAGGGAGACTAAGAACCTGGCGAAGCACAGAGTCAAGCGGTGGCTGAGACGACGGAGACGATGGAGCAAAGAACAGGGGCGGCTATGCAGTGCCACCAGCACCAGCAGCTCCAGCACCTCCAGCAGCTCCAGAACCCTCAGCGCCAGCTTCTCCAGGACCAGCTCCACCAGCAGCAACACCCCCAGAACCGGCACCTCCAGTCCCAGGGTCTCGAGCCTCAGTGTCTCCAGCAGCAGCACCCCCAGACTCAGCACCTCTAGCCCCAGCAGCTCCAGTACCTCCAGTACGAGCACCTCTGGGACCAGCACCACTCCCAGCTCCAGGGACGTCAGCACAAGTACCTCCAGCAGCAAAGCCCCGAGCTCCCGAAGCGCGACCCTGACGGCGACCGTACCAGTCGTGCAGCTGCAGTGAGGTGAGAGGCACACGCTGACGAAGGCGGCTACTCCAAGGAGACCGCGCAACAGCAGACTCAGAACCTTCAGCACCTCCAGAACCTCCAGTGTCAGCACCCTCAGCAGCTCCAGAACCTCCAGCTCCAGCGCCACTAGCGCCAGCACCTCCAGCAGCTCCAGAACCTCCAGCGCCAGCACCCTCAGCAGCTCCAGAACCTCCAGCAGAAACAACTCCAGTAGCAGAGTCACCAGCTCCTGCGCCTCCCGCAGAAAGGCTAGCTCCAGCAGCGCGACCCTGACGGCCAACGTACCACTCACGCAGCTGCTGTGGGGAGGGAGGGAGTCGACGACGAGAGTGCAGTGGCGAGGCACCAGCGGAGCTACTACGGAGACGGCCGCTCCAGGGAGACTGCTCACCAGACGCCTCAGCGCCCCCAGGTGCAGCACCCCCAGACTCAGTACCCCCAGGCTCAGCACCCCCAGACTCCTCACACTCAGGCTCAGCACCTCCAGGCTCCGCACCCTCAGGCTCCGCACCCCCAAGCTCAGCACCCCCAGGCTCCGCACCCCCAAGCTCAGCACCCCCAGGCTCAGCACCCCCAGAAGCAGCACCCTGAGCAGGACCACTCTCAGCAGGACCTGAGTCACCAGTGACCTCAACCGGCGCAGTCAAGGGAGGAGGGTCTACCTGAGACACACCGGAAGGAGCAGGACCAGGCGCGGGTAGGGGGTCTACCTGGGGAGCACCTGGAGCGAGGAAGAGCGGCGGGGGGGGGAGAGGGGCAGTGCGGTAGGGGAAGAGACGGTAAAAGGGAACCGACTCGTCGAACGTGACGTCCTGAGAGGGGAAGACACGGCGCGAGGTGGGGTGGTAAAACTGCCAACCAGGCGCGTCAGGGACAAAGCCCAGGAAGACACAGGGAACAGTGCGGGCGGAGAGCTTGTCCGCGGTGGTATCGCGGACAAAGGCACGAGCACCCTAGACCCGGAAACGCGACGCATCACCAACCTTCCCCGTCCACAGCAGTGTGGGCGAGGTCTCCGGCAAGGAGACACGGGGCCAGAGGTTGAGCTGATGCGCGGCGTACCGGACCACAAACGGCCACAAAAAATGGGGGGCAGCCGCATGGATCATGGAGGTACGAGCGACCTCCATGACTAAGCCAATGCGGCGCTCAGCAACCCCATTCTGCTGCGGAGAGGCCGGAAGCGTGAACGTCTGGCGGAAGCCGTGCTCCGCACAGAAGGCTGCCCAGAGGTCTGAGGAGAACTCACCACCTCTGTCAGAGTGCAGACGCAGGACATGAAAGTCTGTCTCGAACCGCTCGCGGAGCTGGAGACGAACAGCGCGGATCCAGGGGATCAAAACATCAGGGACCTCCCCCTTGCGCTGCAAGGGGAAGACCGTGGTGTAACGCGTGTAGTCGTTGACGACCAGCAGGAAGTACCGCTCGTGGCCCTGTCCACGGACGCGGGCTGGGCCCCACACGTCCAGGTGGAGAGTCTGCAGGGGAGCCTCTGTGGGAGGGAACGAGGAGGAGTGAGGAGCGGCGCGCTGCCGCCCCTCAACACAGGGAAGACAGGGAGGAGCAGGCGAGGGTGGGAGGGGAGGGAGAACCCTGGGAAGACCAGAGACAAGAACACGGCAGTGCATGCTACGAAGGCGCTGCACCGAGGGGTGACCAAGGCAGTGGTGCCAAAGGAGGGTCTGGTGCGACAAGGCGCGACACGAGCAGGGGGGCGCTAGCTGACCTGACGCAGACGCAGCTACCTGAGGGGACTCAGTGGTCAGTGTGTACAGGCCCGACCCCGGCTGCCGAGTGCAGGTAGCGAGGTGACGACCCGTCTGAGCACACGTGCAGTGTGTCACACGCTCGTAGGCAGGGGTGAACTGGTGAACACCCGCGTCCTGGAGCGCAGAAACCGCCACCAATTTCGTAGAGAACGAGGGGAGGTAAAGACCCGACAGTGTGCCAGACGGGACAGCAGGACAAGGGAGGACAGTGGTGGAGGTCGCACTGACTGGACCCCCAGAGGGATCTGCCAGGGAGACTGCTACTGGCCGACTGAGCAGCGTGAGGGTGGTGCTGTCGCGAAAGAAGGAGCGGGACTGTGTGTGACTAAGCGTCCCGCAAGCTTGACCAGTCCGATCACCTGTGCGAATGACGTACGGGCAGTGAACGGTACTCAAAGACCCTCTACTCTGAGCGTACCACTCACGAAGCTGCTGAGGCATAAGTGTCTCGCGCGGACGCCACTGCAGCTGCAGCTGGCCACTGCTAGACGCTCCCGACTGACCAGCTCCAGGACGACAGCCACGACGGCTACCGCCACAACCCCAACTAGCGTACCACTCACGAAGCTGCTGAGGCGTGAGAGACTCGCGCGAACGTCGCTGGAGCTGCATCTGGCCACCGCCAGTAGCAGCAGTAGCAGTCGTAGCTGCTGCAGCGCGGGCACGGCAGGCGCGGCTGGCAGGCAGGCAGGCGGGCAGGCAGGCAGGTCGGCAGAGGGCGCGGCAGTGCGCGAACAAGGCAGGTGCTCACCAGTGGCGGGAAGGGCCGGTGCTCGGCGGGCGGCAGCAGGGTAGGCGCACGACGGCGGCGACGGCGGGGCCGCGGCAGCTGCAGGGTGGGGCCGCGTCAGCGGCAGGTCGGGGCCGCGTCAGTGGTAGGGCGCGGCCGCGTCAGAGGCGGGGCGGGGCCGTGCGGCTGCAGGGCGCGGCCGCGTCGGCTGCAGGGCGCGGCCGCGTCGGCTGCAGGGCGCGGCCGCGTCGAAGGCAGGGCGCGGCCGCGTCAGAGGCAGGGCGGGGCCACGTCGGCTGCAGGGCGCGGCCGCGTCGAAGGCAGGGCGGGGCCGCGTCGACTGCAGGGCGCGGCCGCGTCGAAGGCAGGGCGAGGCCGCGTCAAAGGCTGGGCGCGGTTGCGTCAGAGGCAGGGCGGGGCCGCGTCGGCTGCAGGGCGCGACCGCGTCGAAGGCAGGGCGGGGCCGCGTCGAGTGCAGGGCGCGGCCGCGTCGAAGGCAGGGCGCGGCCGCGTCAGAGGCTGGGCGCGGCCGCGTCAGAGGCAGGGCGGGGCCGCGTCGGCTGCAGGGCGCGGCCGCGTCAGAGGCAGGGCACGGCCGCGTCAGAGGCAGGGCGGGGCCGCGACGGCTGCAGGGTGCGGCCGCGTCGAAGGCAGGGCGGGGCCGCGTTCTGGACGGGTGAATGCACTATGGAAGAGTTGGGTACAAGTATGAAACCCTAAACGGGGCTGTATCCCATATTGGCTACCCCACTACAGCCTACACACATATAACATGCATATGCTTTGACACGGTTCTTCTCCAAGTTTAACCTCGCTGCTGCTGTCAACCCATCCTCAAGGACTTTCATAAATACGTGAGTGCACGCACTGAACTGTATCAAATCGCAACACACCGCTTTGTATTGCACTATCTCCCCCCGCTCTCCTGCATCTCAATCGCTCCCTACCCCCTCCGCCACTCCTCACACCACACACCCACTATGCAAATCAATCTCGCTTTTCTCTACACCCATCTCACACACAATGATGACTCACCCTCTCGAGTGGTCCTTCAATTGATATATGGGGGCACTGTGCATTTCAAGGTGAGCTTGCAAGCCAGCGCAAGGATTTGCAACAGGTTCCCTCCCCCCCAGGCCGAGGGGCTCCGTGTGAGCAAGCACGGCAATGGGCTTCATCAGGGCAGTTATAGGACGGAGTGGTGGCGCATGCGGTAGCATTATAGTGCTGTCAGCACCCCAACGGACATGCCCCTTTCCGTCCCCCAGTCTCGTCCTTCCCATTCGCGTCACCACCATCCGTCCCCACCCTTTCAATATAGTCTCAAGACAAGATCCCGCAACACACGCATGAGGGCCCGAGGGTATGAGGGGGCATGAGCACATGAGCACATAACACAAGAAGGCATGAGGGCATGTGCAGGTATGGTGTCCTTCAGACACTCCAAGTTAAAAGCCCACGGCTTCCCTTCAGCACGTCCCCTTCAACCCCTCTCACCACCTCCCACAACGTCCCCTGCATAGCAGTCTGAAGACACCATAGCATAGGTGAGAGTACTTGTGGAGAAGAAAGGACTGCATGCGTTTCCAAATCAGCCATGAGAAATGCAACAACGGCAGGTGCAGGACCCGAGAGGTGGGCGTGAGAGCAAGCGCCGTGGCTGCAACGAGCAGCTGGACAACGCGGCTCAGCACCTCCGGGGGCGTGCTTGCTACAGGCAGCAGGTGCAGTGATGGCAGATAGGGCCACAGTGACCTCAGCCATAGCAGATGCAGCAGCGACAGGTGCATGACCTGGCAGGTGGGCGGGAGAGCAGGCGCTGTGGCTGCAACGAGCATCTGGACAGCACCGCTCAGCACCTTTGGGGGCGTGCCTGCTACAGGCAACAGCTGCAAACGCCCAACTTACTTCTTCCACCCCCTTACCCGCCCACGCAACCCCTCTGGTGCTGGTTTCTGGTGCTGGCGGCTGGCGCTGGTGCTGATTCCTGGTGCTGGCTCTGGTGCTGGCGGCTGGCGGTGGTGCTGGTTCCTGGTGCTGGCGGCTGGCGCTGGTGCTGGTTCCTGGTGTTGGAGCTGATGGTGGTGCCTGGTGCTCGCGGCTGGCGCTGGTGCTGGGTCCTGGTGCTAGCGGCTGGCGCTGGTGCTGGTTCCTGGTGCTGGCGGCTGGCGCTGGTGCTGGTTCCTAGTGCTGGCGCTGGTGCTGGTGCTGGTTCCTTGTGTTGGCGGATGGCGCTGGTGCTGGTTCCTGGTGCTGGCGCTGGTGCTGGTTCTTGGTGCTGGCGGCTGGCGCTGGTGCTAGTTCCTGGTGCTGGCGGCTGGCGCTGGTGCTGGTTCCTGGTGCTGGCGGCTGGCGCTGGTGCTGGTTCCTGGTGCTGGCGGCTGGCGCTGGTGCCTGGTGCTGGTGGTGATCGCTGGTGTTCCGCCGCCACTCCCTTCCACCTTTTTCTCTCTCCCCCACAGCATTCCGCCGCCACTCCCTTCCCCCTTTCCCTCTCCCCCCCACAGCGTTCCGCCGCCAATCCCTTCCCCTCCTCCCTCTCCCGCCCACAGCGACCGCCGCTGCACACGCGAACAGTCGCGACGGGGGGGGGGGGGTGACGGGCAGGGGGGCGGGGGAATGCAACGGGCGGAGCGAGGCGACGGGAGGGAAGAAAGCAGGACGGGGGGGGGGGGGGGGGGGGGGGGAATGACGGGCAGGGGCGCGGGGGAATGCGACGGGTGGAGCGAGGCGACGGGAGGGAAGAAAACGGGACGGGGGGGTGGGTGACGGGCAGGGGCGCGGGGGAATGCAACGGGCGGAGCGAGGCGACGGGAGGGAAGAAAGCGGGACGAGGGGGGGGGGGGGGGGGGGGGGGAGGGCCGCGACGACCGCCACGGACGCTGTCCCCGTCATTCCCGATTCTCCGCGGTGCTGTACGGTTCGGGGCGGGGTAGAGTAGCTGGTGGGGCGGCTGACTTCAGGGTGAGGTGACTGGAACGGGTGGTACAGCGGGCACGGGGTGAGTCAGCGGGGACGGGTGAGACGGTAGCGCAGCTGACGAGCTGCGCGTGCGTGCGGCTATTGTTGCGCGTGCGTGCAGCTATGGCCGCGCGTGCGTGCTGCTAATGCCGCGCGTGCGTGCGGCTAATGCTGCACGTGCATGCGGCTAATTCTGCGCATGCGCGCAGTCGCATGTGCGGCTACGACTGCACCTGCGCATGCGTCTGCTGCTCACTAGTGGGCTGGCGAGCTACGCACGGGGCAGAGAGCGGGTGAAGCGCGGGTGAGAAAACGGGGGATGCACGTGGCAAAACGGGTGACGCGAGCAGGGCAAAACGGGCGCTACGGACTAGATCGGGTCACGGGGCGGTGGGCCAATAGGTCGGTCTAGCTCTATACCATGTTACAATACGATCTGAGCTGGTAACCAGGTTTAACTAAGGGCCAAGGCTTAGAAGCCTAGGCCAAGCGGGTATCGAGGGAGTTGGGCAAGGAGGTTGACAAGAAATGATTGTGTTTACTATAGGACCAAAGGTACATATAGCAAACAAACAAGAGGTGCACCACCAACCAGGTTTGTATAACTACACTAAAGCTAAAGCTACAGGCAGTTATAAACATATATAAATATATATCGCGACACACAGCACCTCAAGGCACATGCAATCCCTCTTCCTCCCCCCTACTATGCACCACTCATCCATCCCCTTCCTAACCCAGGCTCGAGATGCCACTGGGGAGATAACTAGTTCAACGGGAGCTAGACTACGGGCTAGGCACGGGGCTGAGTGATCTCTGCGTTCGTTAGTTGTTTCCTTAGTGCGCACAATACTTGCTAGTTCACGGGGAAAAATGGCAAGAGTTTCACCAAGCGAAGTTCACAACAATGATCCAATAAAGTTGGCAAGACAGGACTACATCAGAGCTAGGATGCAAGCAGGACGACTGCCAGCGAAGCATGGTCGACCGCGTGCCAGCACGACTTGGTCGACCGTGCTACAGCAGTGCAGGGTCGCGGCTTGCTAACGCTGCAGATCGACGGCGTGCCAACAGCGCAAGTCGACGGCGTGCTCAGCGTTGCTCCCGCAGAACAACGTCGCACCCGCTTTGCCGGTGCTTGCAGATGATTGGCGAGCTGGGCCTTGTCACCTGCACAGCGCAAACACCATATCGTCCTCGTGCTGACGACTGCATCTGATCAGCCACGTCGACCTCGGGATAACACCACCGAGGTCGGTCTTGCCAAAACCACCTGAGCGACCCCCTGCATCTGACCGAGCAACCACGTCGACCAGCTGCTCCTTCACGTGCCCGTCGACCTCCTAGGTCGACGACCACCTATAGTGGACCTCACCAGGTCGACCACACTCTTGGTCGACCAGCTCCATCAACGACACTCCTGGTCGACCAGCTCCAAGTCGGCCAGCACTCCTATCAGCCGACCACACCCAGTCAGCTTCCCCTGGTCGGCGTCACCCAAGTCCACGCCTCCACAAGTCGTCCTTCCAAGGTCGGCGCCCTCCCGAAGTCGGCGCCCTTGTAGTGGCACCCATGCATGTCGACCAGCCCTGTCGACCAGCTCGTCCACTGCTGCAGGTCGGCTGCACCCCTCACACCCGACCACGAAGTCGGCTCCGCCCGAGCGAGGATGGGGCCAACAACGACCCCCGTTGACACTCCCCTGCCGCGTTCACGCTTGGGCCCCCAGCCCACATGGCAGCACTACTCGGAGAATAGCTCGTCGGCGTGCACCCAACACACAGCACGGTGGTCACCGCACCAGCCATGCTAGAGGGCATGGCACCTACTGCTGCACATCGTCGCCGCCATCGCCCACGTCGGCCAGGCGCACCTGGCCGATTGCGACTGAGCACTGGTTGAAGGCCGGGTAGTGCAGCGCCTTCGTCAGGAAGTCAGCCGGCTGCTCGGTGGTTGGGATGTACTTCAGCGAAAACTTCCCGCGCTTCACCATATGCTGCAGCCAAGCCAGTCGCCGCTCCATGTGCTTGAGGTTGCCCGTCAACCCCATGCCCTCAGTGCCCGTGATGGCCGACTTGTTGTCCACCCGAAGGATGGTCGGCTTCCCGGCATCCAACTGCCGGAACTCTGCGAGGAGGAAGCGCAGACGACGTCCGTCCTTGTCGTCTTCGGTTGCCGCCACGTACTCCGACTCGGTCGACGATAGCGTCGCGCACTTGATGCGCTGGCTCGACCAGGAGACTGTGGCCCCTCCGTGGATGAACACGTAGCCGCCCGTGCTCGTCCAGTTCTGCTATTCGCCGGCGTCGTCGGCGTCTACGTAGCCGACCAGCTTCAGGGACTCAGGTCCACCGCCAAACTCCAGGGCGGTGTCACGCGTGTTGGCGAGGTAGGCGAGGCAGCGGTTGACCTCGCGCCAGTGCTGGTCGCTCCTCACCGTAAGGCCGCTGCCCAGTTCGTTGTAGGCGAAGGCGATGTCCGGCCTCGTCGTCGTTGCCGCAAACTGCAGCGAGCCGACCTTCTACCGGTACTCCTCCTCCTGGCGCTCCTGTGCCTCCTCGTCGTCGAAGGTGAGCTCGGTGTAGGCGTCGACCGAGACCGCCGTCTTCGGGGTGCGCCCGGTCTGTTCCTCGTCGATGAACCGCCTGTGCAGCTTGTTGGCGTAGCCCTGCTGAGCCACAGCTTCCTCGCCAGCCTGTCGCGCACGATCTCCAGCTTGAGGTACTTCTGCACCGGCAAGATCTCCCGTAGCTCGAAGGCGGCCTCAAGCAACTCCTTCAACTCCTTCAACATCTCGGTACTACTGCTGGCAGTGAGCAAGTCGTCGACGTAGACCAGCACCCAGCAGGTCACTTTGTCAGCGTCGACCTTGAAGTAAAGGGCCTCGTCGACCTGGCTCTTCTTCCAGCCAGTGCCGACCAGCACGTCGTTGAGAGCCTTGTACCACAACAGCGGCGACTGCTTTAGCCCGTAGAGGCTCTTCAGCAGCTTACACACTCGGCCGTTCCCGTTGTTGAAGTAGTCCGGCTGGTACATGTACAGCACCCAGTCGAGCTTGCTCTGCAGGAAGGCGTTCTTCATGTCGAGCTGCATCAGGTTGAGGTCGAGGACGGCAACGATGCTGAGGAAGATCCACGTCGCCGTCGGTGGATGTTATGGATTCCTCAGCGTCCGACTGCTCCCCTTCATCGTCACCGGCGTCGCTGCCCTCATCGTCCTGCTACACCTCAGTCGGTATCCAAACCGACTTTTCCCCTGCGGTCGGCTCCCCTGCCGACTGCCCGGTCGCCGACTGCTCATTGGTCGGCTTCGGTGCTACCTGTTCCCCTATCGACTGCTGACCTGTTGACGCCTTCTTCACTGGCTCCACCAAATTGGGCAGCTCCCCTGTCGGCGGCGGCTTCTCTCCCACACCGACTGGCTTGACGTCACCTAGCCTAACGACGATGCTCTTGGTCGGCGCCACAGGCGACGCCCCACTTCTCCCCTCATCTCCGGGGGCTGACACCGGAGGTAGCCCACGCATGTCGGCAACAAGGAGAGGGGCAAGGGGGGCAGGGGAAGGAGAAGGAGGGCGGACGACTTCAGCGTCCTCGTCAGCTAGCCCTCCAACCTCGGCGAGCAGAGGGAGGGTCGCCATCGAGGTGCCCGTCGGCGGGTTGGCCAGCGTCCGCCCCGACGCCGGCCCGTGCTCCGACTTCCACACCTCCAGCGACATCGTCTCGTAAAACACCACGTCCGACGTGGTGACCACCTGGTGGTCGGCGAGGTCTAGGAGCTCCCAGCCCTTGCTCTCCGCCGACACGCCGAGATGAATACCCCACCTAGCCTTCGGCTTCAGCTTCCCACCACGCTGCTGCTCGGGGACCACGAACCTGCCCGTACACCCCGCAGCAGAATGGCATGTCAGAGCGGGAGATGAGAACGGTGGTGGAGTCGGTGCGGACGATGCCGTCCACGAAGGCGGTGAAGTCCTTCCCGAGGAACTCCCCTCCTTGGTCAGAACGCAGCATCAGCACCGACTTCTGCGACTGCCCTCAGCCACCCCTAGCCACCGCACGAACTCCTGCAGCACATCCGACATCTTCGCGACCGGCCTCACCCACACATAGCGGGTCTTGCGGTCCTTCAGCAGCAAGAAGTACAAGCTGCATCCTTGGCAGCCACTCGAAACGGCCCGCACAGGTCGATGTGCACGACGGCCAGCACGTCGTCGGCATTGGAGCCCTGGTCGGGGAAGGTGTGCCGCCCCAGCTTCCCGCCTACGCACGAAACACACGGTGATTTGGCGGCAGACGCCGATTTGAGGTCCAGTCCAGTGGCGACCTCGAGCGTCGCCAAGCTCCATATGGTGTCCATGCCGACGTGTGCAAGGCTCGCATGCAGCCTGTCCAGCGTCGACTTCGTTGCCGAGGCTATCACCCGCAGGGCCACCACCCCCGTCATGGGCATCGTCAACGTCGCCGAGCAGGGACACAGGCCGGTGCAGAGGACCCGGCCGGTGTAGGACGCTCGACCGAGGACGTCCCCTGCCGCCGTGACGAGCAACATCCGGTCGGCGTCCTCCTTCAGCTTCACTCCGTTCTCGTTCTGCTGGCCAGCTGACAGCAGGTTCGCGTGCACGCTTGGAACGTAGAGTATGTCGAGAACCAGCACCTGCTTCCTGGCCTCCCCTTGCAAAGCGATAGTACCTCGCCCCTGGACGTCCTGCAGCGCACCATTGAAGCCGCGCACGTGCTTGACGTTGCTGCTCGGCTGCAGGTCGACGAAGACCTCCTTCGTCCCCATCAAGTGGTGGGAGCAGCCGCTGTTGAGCAGGACCACCGCTGGGTTCGCCTGCACGGCCGCCGCCATCGCCTGGAATTTCTCGCCGTCCTCCGAAGCCAGCGAGACGGTCGGCTCCATGATGCCGACCAGCGAGCACGACGCCTCCTTGTCGTTGCGCTTCTTGCCGCCAGAAGAGGAGTCGGCTTCCTTCGCCGAGGTCGACGACTTGGTCGACTGTTTCTCCTTGTGTGGCTGGTTTCCTCCTCGATGCGGACGACGGCTCCCTGACCTCCCGCGGCCCCCCTTGGCGTCGTCGTCGTCGGAATCACTGCAGTCGGGGCACTCAAAGGAGAGATAGTCGGGATCGCCGCACAGCCAGCACTCCCGACGTCGACTTCTTCCTCCTCAACCGCAATCCTTGGCCGACTTCTGCTTGTCGGCATCCTTCGCCGGCTTCCACCCGCTGCTTCTACCGCCGCCAGACTGCCCACACTGCCCCAGTCGACCACCTTGCTTCGACGGGGCGGCGTAGTTCGCCTGCGCCAGGAGCTCCGAGGGCCGCTCGGCTTCTTGCATCGCTTCATCGTGCAGGATGTACAAGGTAAGAGAGTCCTTGTTGAGTGTCGCCCGTGTGCTCGGCACCACAGACAGCCGCTTCAGCAGGTTGTAGCTGCTTATGAGCCCTTTGATGACGTGCATGACGTACGACGTCGTCGAGTAGTTTACGCCGGCCATCCTCATAATGGCGAGAATCCGCCGAGCCCGGTTGCAGTAGTCCGGCGCCGTCTCCTGTTCCCCCATCTGCAAGTGCGACAGCCGCTCCTCGAGCTGGCCGATGTACAGGTACGTCGACTCGATGAAATGCCACGCCCAATGGCCGGCGTCGAGGTACTCCCTGTACGACTTCAAGGCGATCTGCACGCCCGGCGAGCAGCAGCGCGAGATGACCGTGAAGGTTAGCAACTGCACAGCGCGGAACTCCGCACGCAGGTCGGTATAGTGCTCCTCGGGCATCGCCACGGTTCCACGGGCGAAGTCGATCAGCCCGGCCATTTCCAGCTGGGGCTCAATGGCTTCCTTCCAGGTGAGTATGTCAGGTTGACCGATCAACAAGGGGGTGATTGAGATCCTGTCCTGCGTAAACTTGAAGTAGCCCTATCTCGGCGTGATGCCTCCTGCAGTCCCATGGGTTGCCGACATCGGTGACAAACCGCTTCGTCGACCTCCGACGTCGCCTTGCGAGGAGCCTGCATCCATCGACGATTGCATCCCTCGCACCTGAACGCCGCCGACTTCATTTGCGTTTATCACACCTCGCTGCCTCGACGTGCCTCCCGCACTGCTGCCGACCTGGTCAACGACGTTAACGCCCACGTCGATGCCGCCTTCGTCATTCACCGGTCGAGGAGAAGCATGTCGAGAAGGGTGCTCCGTCGCCCACACGGCGCGGATGCCAGCCTCGACGACTGCCTAGGGGATTGCTCCGTACTCCTGGGCCTCATGGCGTCTCCTTGCATCCTCCAGCTGTGCTTCCAGGGTGTCCATCACCTGTGTGTCACCTACGCTCACGATAGTGACTGCACGGCTGCTGGCCTACGAGCAACTGAGGTAAGTGACAACTATGTCGACTAGACTGAAAGGTAAGTCGTGTGCCGTCCACGCTCACCGCACCATGCGGAGATAGCTAGTTCAATGGGAGCTAGATTACGGGCTAGGCACGCGGCTGAGTGATCTCTGCGTGTGTTATTTGTTTCCTTATTGCGCACACTAATTGCTAGTTCACGGGGAAAAATGGCAAGAGTTTCACTAAGAGAAGTTCACAACAATGATCAAATAAAGTTGGCAAGACAGGGCTACATCAGAGCTAGGATGCAAGCGGGACGACTGCCAGCGCAGCATGGTCGACCGCGTGCCAGCACGACTTGGTCGACCGCGCTCCAGCAGTGCAGAGTCGCGGCCTGCCAACGCTGTAGGTCGACGGCGTGCCAACAGCGCAAGTCGACGGCGTGCCAGCGTTGCTCCCGCAAAACAACGTCGCACCCGCTTCGCAGGTGCTCGCAGATGATTGGCATGCTGTGCCTTGTCACCTGCACATCGCACACACCATATCGTCCTCGTGCTGACGACTGCATCTGATCAGTCATGTCGACCTCTGGATACCACCACCGAGGTCGGTCTCGCCAAAACCACCTGGGCGACCGTCACACTCCTCCGCAGAACTTCGTCACCCACGTAACCTGGTCGACCGGGCAACCACGTCGACCAGCTACTCCTTCATGTGCCTGTTGACCACCTAAGTTGATGACCACTTCTAGTCGACCTCACCAGGTCGACCACACCCTTGGTCGACCAGCTCCAGGTCGACGACACTCCTGGTCGACCAGCTCCAAGTCGACCAACACTCCTGTCAGCCGACCACACCCAGTCGGCTTCCCCTGGTCGGCGTCACCCAAGTCAACGCCTCCACAAGTCGTCCTTCCAAGGTCGGCGCCCTCCTGAAGTCGGCACCCTTGCAGAGGCACCCATGCAGGTCGACCAGCCCTGTTGACCAGCTCGTCCAGTGCTACAGGTCGGCTGCACCCCTCACCCCCGACCATGAAGTCGGCTCCACCCACGCGAGGACGGGGCCAACAACGACTCCCGTTGACAGCCACGGCGTGCATGACTGCGTGTGCTGATATGGAGGGCGCACATGCGTGCGTGCGGAAGCTCTTTCGAGACATGCTAGACCTGTGCGGCTCGTTCTATGCTTACTTCATCGAGGTGTGTTGTGAGGCGACAAGTGAATTGTCAGTTCATAGGTGAATCATGAGTTTATAGGTTTGTCGTGAATTGACAGGTGTGTGGTAAGTCAACAGTTATACACTGGGAATCCCCCGTCGTACCCGCAATTTTGGCCCTCTTCCTTCTGCCCACCTCCTCCTTCCACACTGCTCGTCCCTCTAGGCTGGATGCTTGACTTGGAGTAGTTGGAGCCATTGGAGCAGTTGGAACAAGGGGACTCTTCGCACCATTTTGTCCCTACCACCCACCCTTCTTAAACAAGTCACTCTCCACACCTTCCTCCCTTGTTTTCCATCCCACCCCACTCCCTCCCACTCCCCCCCTCTCCCTCTCTCCTCTCCACTGCTCCCCTCTCTTTTTCTCTCCCCATCCCCACTCTTACCTCCCGTTTCCCACTCCGCACACCTCTTCCCCACTTCACCCCTATCCCCCCACTCAATGCTTCTCAGCTTCCCCCTTCACGACTCGTTATTCTGCTTCCACCCACCGGCCTTCCTAATCCCGCACTTCAAACTCAACATGGCCAACCCTCACTCCTGTCCCTCTTCACCCTCTCTCAACCCTCCCCTCCCCCCCCCCCCTTCTTATTCCCTCTCTCTCCCCCTTACCTCCCCCCTTCAGGACTGTTTCCGCTCCTTCCACCCCCAGGCCTTCCTGTTCCTGCAATTCGATGACTACATGGCCAACCCCCGCCCGCACATCACCCAAACGCTCGACTTCCTCGGCTTCCCCACTGCTGACGTGGCAGAGGAGCAGTGGGCAGAGATCATTGACCTGGAGCGAGTGGAGCAGCGGCCGGAGGGCGTGGCGAGGGCTGAGCTGGACGGGGTCATACGAGAGTACCTAAAAGCGTTCTTCATGCATTTCAATGCGGATCTGGTGCGGTTGCTGCGTGATGACAAGTATTCGTGGAAGAGAGGGCACAGGGGATGGGTGGAGAGGGGAGAAAAAAAGGAGACGGCTTGGTTTTCCTCATGATATCAGATTATCCAACCACCCACCAGGCCAAGATTGCAGACTTTGGGTTGGTGCGGGTGGAAGAGGGCACGACAGTGGCACGACTCGAATCATGGGAACACCGGGCTATGTGGATCCGGTTTACAACCGGACGTCCAAGGCCACCACATCAAGCGATGTCTACAGGTGAGCCAAGAGCCATACAAATATCGTGCTATGTGAGCCAGAAGACCCTGGGAGATGGCTCCAATAATGAAGATTCCCGAGGATAAAAAACAGTGGCATGTGCCTCGTCACATGTCATGTCGATATTGGCTGATGCATTAGATTCACACCTGGAACAAGCACGTAATGGAACAATGCTAGTTAGTCAACCCATCCAACCTAGTTGGTTGAATACTAAAAAATTTCCCTTCTTGACTGAACACCAGCGGGATCCTCCACAGGTTATTTGAATTCAGAAAAACCAAAATGGTCACATTCATGTCACCATTGCCTTGCTCTCACTACCTCTCGCACGTTGCAGCTTTTGTGTGCTCATGCTTGTGGTGCTCACTGGACGGTCTTCACTTTCCGAGGGAGATCAAGCACATCGTGGTGTGGGTAAGTTCCACTCAGGCAGCTTCTTGCATGTTGCCATAATCGCATTCCTCCAAGTGAAGTATGATGCTTTACAGGCTATCCGATGTGTATTTCACGTTTTCAAACTTGCGTTTTTTTTCCATCCTCTTCCACTCTCTCAGGCGTCTGAGTGCCTCTCCTCAGGTAACATAGCGAGCCTCAAGCACCCCACCATGGACGCCCCTCCCGGGGATGCTGTGCAGCGCTTGGCTGAGCTGGCAATGAGTTGCACCGTGGAGCGCACTGCAAGCCACCCAAACATGGCGCTCATTTCCAACGAATTGCAGACTGTCAGGGAGGAGGTGGCGGGGAAAGAGGAATCTGGTGCTGCCATCAAGGTGGATGCGCAGGTCCAGGAGATGAAGGATGCTGTTGCGGGTGAGGACAGCCTGGAGATACAACTTCAAATTATCGAGGATAGCGGCAGCTTCATCACTGAAGACCCAGTCTAGGGATGGGATGAGATTATCGCGGTTGATTTTACTTCGCAGTTCATTCGGTATGCGTTGCATCGCATGCAACATTCCAGGCTCCTGATTGTTTTGGGGGGCCAAGGGACTGCCCTGCTGTTTGTGAGAGTTACCTAGCTACTTTGTGCATTGTATACGCCTCCTTTTCTTTTATACTATATTAAGGTATTGCTTGACTTGGAAAAATCCGGACGCTTGGCGATTCATGTTTCCACCTGCCCTGCCCTGCAGCCCGTGCTCCACCCTGCCCTGCAGCCTGCACGTCGCCCTGCCCTGCAGCCCGCGCGCTACCCTACCCTGCAGCCCGTGCGTTTGCTTTGCGCGCCTTGCTGCCCGTGTGCCCTGGTGCTAGCGCGCCCCGCTGCCTGCACGCCCTCAGTAGTCCGTCGAGCGCCCTTAGCACGCCTTAGTCTTGCTGGCGCCATCACTCCTACTACCATCTGCCATTGCCTGTTATGGCCCAGATTGCTGTCTTAGCAGTTGACGTAGACGGACGCCCTTTCCGGCTAGAGTTGTGGCTTTTGTGCCTACATCGGTATCTCCGTCGTGGAGTTAGAGATGGAATCTCCCTGCTCGAGCACACGTCGGGGTCCCTTCCGGCTCCCATGACTCCCATGCCTGCTGCTGACGATGGCGAGGACGTGCAGCGGCAGTACCGGGCGGACCGTGCTGTCTGCACACAGTGGTCGGGGCGCGACGCTGTCGCACAGTTTGCCTTCCGAGCTCACCTACCGATCGACCAGCAGGCCAACTTTCGTCAGGTCACGTCAGCCCAGCCTCTTTACGATCCTGTGGTTAGACACTACTCCTCCCTCTCTCCTGACCCCCGACCACTGCGGCAGTTCAGTCCGTCGTTAGAGGAGGTGCACCAACTGGTCGAGGAGGCGTGTGTAGGTACCTGTGTGTCTGCTCGTTCAGGTGGTGCCGCTGGTGGAGGCGGAGGTTCTGGGGGTGGACAGCTGCCGCTGTAGTGACAGCAGGAGACAGTCCTAGGTGGTGTAGATATTGCTAATCTAGGTGCCTGTGAGCCTGCTAGCACAGGTGCAGCCCCTGTAGAGGCTTAGCACACCTTCACGCTTGACTCCGGCGCGAGTCGCGACTGCACCACGGTCACACCCCTCACTACAATTGTCCCGCTCACTCTGGCTAACCCCTCTGGTGGCCCAGTAGTTGCACATGGCTCCACCGTTCTCCCGTTTCCGGCAGCCCCCTTTGGCTCCCTCACAGGTTTCCACCTCCCCTCGTTCTCTAAGAACTTAGTGAGTAATGCTGTCCTCCAGGACCTATTTGTCACTGCCACTACTCCTGGGGGTGAGCTTGTGGCGATCTTTACGGAATCACGCACTGGTAAGCACCTCTCATTTTCACTCAGAGCCTTGGCTCTGGCCTGTACACAGTGACCATTGAGTTTGCACAGGTGGATGCGTCGGGTCACGTAGCTGCGTCGGGTCAGGTAGCAACGTCGGGTCAGTTAGCTGCGTCTTGTTCGTGTCAGCTACTCACGCACCCGTTTCTCCTCTGGCACCACCGTCTTGGTCACCCCTCCTTTCCGCGCTAGTGTGGCATGCACTCTCGTTTCCTTGTCTCTGGCCTCCCCAGGTCCCTACCCCCGCTCCCGCGCTCGCTTGCACCGCCGTGCCTTCCCTGCGTCGAGGGGCGCAGGACGCCGCTCCTCACTCCTCCTCATTTCCTCTGACCACCGCTCCTCTGCAGACTCTCCACATGGACGTGTGGGGCCCCGCCCACCTCTGTGGACAGGACCAAGATCGCTACTTTCACACGCGCTACACCACGGTCTTCACCTTGCGGAGAAAGGCGGATATCAGTGGTGTTTTGATCCTCTCGATCACCGCTGTTCGTCGCCAGCTGAGAGCACGGTTCCAGCAGGACCTCCAGGTCCTGCGACTGCACTCTGACAGAGGCTGTGAGTTTTCCTCCCGCCTCCTTGAGGACTTTTGTCGTGCGGAGGGCATCGCCCAGTCGTTCACGCTTCCGGCCTCCCCACAGCATAATGGGATTGCTGAGCATCGCATTGGCTTGATCATGGAGGTTGCTCGTACCTCCATGATCCATGCGGCTGCTCCCCATTTTCTGTGGCCGTTTGCGGTCCGATACGCCGCGCATCAGCTCAACCTCTGGCCACGTATCTCTATGCCAGAGACCTCGCCTACACTGCGTTGGACGGGGGAGGTTGGCGGTGCGTCGCTGTTTCGGGTCTGGGGCGCGCTCTCCCTTGTCCGCGATACCACCGCGGGCAAGCTCTCTCCTCGCACTCTCCGCTATGTCTTCCTTGGCTTCCCCACCGACGCCCCGCCATGGCAGTTTTACCACCGTGCCTCGCGTCGCGTCCTGTCCTCACAGGACGTCACCTTTGACGAGTCGGTCTTCTTCTACCGTCTCCACCCGCACGTGTCTTCCCCACTCTCCCCGCCGCCCCTCTTCCTGGTCCCAGGTCCCCCCCCCGGTAAACCCCCTCCCCCCACTTGGTCCTGCTCCCTTAGGGGTGTCTCGGGTCGACCTTTGGAGACACATCTGGCCCAGCTGAGGGGGGTGACCACGCTGCTGACGACACGGCGACCACGCGCCGCTCCCCGCGCTTGGAGACTACTCCTGGTTTTCTGCCTTGGCCGTCTTCGCCACCTCCGTAGCCTGTCGATGTGGACTCTGGTGCTGCTGGGGGTGGTCACACTGGGGGTGCGGACTCTGGAGGTGCTGGTCATGGGGTTGCTGAGTCTGGGGGTGCTGGTTCTGGGGGTGCTGCGAGTCCTAGTGGTGGTGGGATCGTGGGTGCTCCTGCTGGAGGTTCTGGCATTGCACAGCAGCAGCTTCGCAAGTGGGTTGTTCGGCGAGGCCGCTTTGGTGCTGGCGCTTGGAGTACTGGTGCTCGAGGTGCTGGAGGTGCAGGAGCTGCTGGTGTTGGAGGTGCTGGAGCTGGAGGTGCTGGAGGTACTGGAGTTGCTGGTCCTGGAGGTCCTGGAGCTGGAGGTGCTAGAGGTGCTGCCGCGGGAGGTTCTGGAGGTACTGGAGCTGGAGGTGCTGGAGGTGCTGGAGCTGCTGGTGCTGGAGGTACTGGAGCTGCTAGTGCTGGAGGTGCTGGAGCTGGAGGTGTTGGAGGTACTGGAGCTGCTAGTGCTGGAGGTATTGGAGTTGTTGGTGCTAGAGGTGCTGGAGCTGGAGGTACTAGAGGTGCTGGAGCTGCTAGTTCTGGAGGTACTGGAGCTGCTGGTGCTAGAGGTGCTGGAGCTGGAGGTTCTGGAGGTAAGGGAGCTGGAGGTACTGGAGCTGCTGGTGCTGGAGGTACTCGAGGTGCTGGTGCTGGAGGTACTGGAGCTGCTGGTGCTAGAGGTGCTGGAGCTGGAGGTACTGGAGCTGCTAGTGCTGAAGGTACTGTGGCTGTTGGTGCTGGAGGTACTTGAGCTACTGGTGCTAGAGGTACTGGAGCTGCAGGTTCTGGAGGTAATGGAGCTGGAGGTTCTGGAGGTGCTGGAGGTACTGGAGTTGCTGGTGCTGGAGGTCCTGGAGCTGGAGGTGCTAGAGGTGATGCCGCTGAAGGTTCTGGAGGTACTGGAGTTGGAGGTGCTGGAGCTGCTGGAGCTGCTGGTGCTGGAGGTATTGGAGCTGCTGGTGGTGGAGGTGCTGGAGCTGGAGGTGCTGGAGGTACTGGAGCTGCTAGTGCTGGAGGTACTAGAGCTGCTGGTGCTAGAGGTGCTGGAGCTGGAGGTAATGAGCTTCCGGTGCTTGAGGTACTGGAGCTGCTGATGCTGGAGGTACTGGAGCTACTGGTGCTAGAGGTGCTTGAGCTCGAGGTTCTGGAGCTGCTGGAGCTGGAGGTACTGGAGCTGCTGGTGCTGGAGGTACATTGTACATCAGCCACATCCATTGTACATCAGCCACGTCCATTGTACATCAGCCATGTCCATTGCCTATCAGCCACATCCATTGCCCATCAGCCACGTCCTGCATTGCACATTTCCCATCCATTTGTCCCACTCACAATGTTCGAATCTGGGGATGGGTGAGACTGTCTGTGCTTTAATTTTGGTGCCTCAATTGTCGTAACAGGTATTTGGATATAATTTTAAGCTGGGAAAAATACTTCGAAATGTTGTTAATAAGCAGGCGAGCTATTGAGTCAAGTGAAGCTTGACTCTTCTTTTTGTGGGAAGGAGAACGCGAATGAATGAACTATGAATGAAGTGAGTACATATAGGAAACCCTAATTGGGTTGTACCCCCTATGGGATACCCCACTATAGCCTACACAACAGCATAAGCTATATAATGTTCTGACACACCCCCATAGGCAAAGTGGGGGAGAACAAGGGGTCACAAGACCAGTCACGCAAAGCACAGCAAGCTCAGGGTGGATCACAAAGTCACCACACAGTCCGAGCACAACGACAAGGCCACAAGGCCAGTTCACATGCAGGAGGACACATATATATATAGAGCTAGACAAGCAAGAGCAGGTATATATATGTGACAGTACAAGCAAGGTCAAGAGGAGAGCAAGTGAGGCAAGACAAGTACAAGACCCAACTGAGTGCAGAAGCGCTGATGGTCACAAGGCGCAAGTGCCTCGGTGAACACATCAGCAGTGTTGGCCTCAGAGGCCACGTACGCAAGTCGCAACTGACCACGCTGCTGCAGCTCACGAGCAAGAAAGTAACGGAGAGCAATGTGCTTCGTTCTGTGCTCCAAGCGCTGCTCTCGACACAAGGCCAGCATGGCCTTGTTGTCTACGTACAGCACTGGAGGAGAACGAGGCTGCTCTCCAAGGTCAGTCAGCAGGTAGGTGAGCCAGCGAAGCTCCTGTGCAGCCATGGCCCCGGCGTAGATCTCAGCCTCACAACTGGAGCCGAGAACAGAGGACGAGCGAGTAGCCCGCCACGAGACAGAGCCGGAACCAAGACTGAAGGTGTAACCCTGCGACGACCGCTGCGTAGCCTGGTTGTCAGCCCAAGAAGCGTCCGCGTGCCCAGT